AAGTTACGGTAATTAAAAAGTATGTATTGGCATAAAAACAGCCATATAGATCAATGGAAAAGAACAGAGAGGCTTGAAATGACCTCACACATGCATTGTCAACTAATTTATGAAAAAGGAGCCAAGAATATGCAATGGGAAAAAGCCTCTTTAATAAATGGTGGTGGGAAAACTGGAGAGTCACAAGCTAAAGAATGAAACTGGACTACTATCTGAAACCATATACAAATATTAACTCAAAATGGATTACCAAATTGAATGTAAGACTTGAAACCATAAAACTTCTAAAGGAAAACATAGGCCCTAGCTTCCTGACATCAGTTTTGACATGGAATTTTTGGATTCGACTCCAAATCAAAAGAAACAAAGACAAAAATATACAAGTGGGATAACATCAAACTAAAAAGCTTCTGCATGACAAAGGAAACCAGCAACAAAATAAAAAGGCCGCCTAGTGAATCAGAGAAAAATAATTACAGATCACGTATCTGAGGTGCTAATATTCAGAACATACAAATAACTCAAACAACTTAATAACCAATCTAATTTTAAAAATGGAGAGAAGATCTGAATAGTCATTTTTCAAAGAAGGCATACAAATGGTCAACAGGAACATAAAAGGATGCTAAATGTTATTAATCATCAGGGAAATGTAAAACAAAACCACTCTGAGATATCACCTCACACCTGTCATAATGGCTATTATCAAAAAGACAACAAATAATAAATGTTGGAGAGGATGTGGAAAAAAGGAAACCCTGTGCACTGCAGGTGGAAACATAAGTTGGTGCAACCAATTTGTGGAAAACAGCATGGAGCTTCCTCAAAAAGTTAAAACTAGAATTACATATGATTCAGCAATTCTACTTCTGGGAATTTATTTGAAGATAATAAGAACATTAATTTGCAAAGATATATATACATATATCTATATGTTCATTACAGCCTTGTTTTTAATAGTCAAGATATGGAAACAACGTAAGCATCCATCAGTGGATGAATGGATAAAGAAGATGTGGGGTGTGTGTGTGTGTGTGTGTGTGTGTGTGTACACGTACATATACAGATATAGATAGGGATATAGTTATCTATGATGGGATAATACTCAGCCATAAAAAAAAGATTGAAATCTTGCAATTCATGACAACCTAGATGGCTCCTGAGGGTATTAAGCTAAGTGAAATCAGTCAGAGAAAAACAAACATTGTACGTTCTCTCTTACATGTAGAATCTAAGGGAAAAAAACCAAAATGAAACAAAAAACAAGTTCATAGATTCAGAGAACAGACTGGTGATTATAAGAGGCAGAGGACTGGAGAGTGGGAGAAATGGATGATTTTTTTTTTAGTTTAAACAAGTTGAATTTAAACATTTTAAAATTTATTACAGCTATTATATGTTTCTGGTGAGAGTTTATGTTACTTCTTTGGTAAGAATTCTAAAAATATAGCAAGAAACTTTAATAAAATTATTTGATTTTACCTAGTATTTTTCCTTTTAGGAATTCGACCTGTTGAAATAATTATAAAGTCAAGGGAAAAATGTATAAGTAAAGATCACTGCCTCATTATTTATGATGATAAAATTTGTAAAAAAAAACACCCCAATTTCTAGCAATATGTATGAAATTACAGGACACTTATGTGGATATCATGTATCCATTAAATGGATATTTTTCAAGAACATTTAATAGAAGCAGATTCTTTCCTTTAATTCTCCAAAATTTCTACCATTAACCTGTACGATCATTTTCTAAGCAAAAAACTAAAATTTAAATACAGTGATACCCAGGTCCAGATGAGTAATTAAAGGTAATTTTTCATCACTTTTAAGTTGTAAAGTATAATGTATCTCACTAGGTTAATGGTGGGATTGATTTCTACTCTTTGAAAGTCTGTTAATGGTGAATAATAACATCCTTTGTTCTGGAAGTTTCTGAAAATGGGTTCCTGGCTATAACAAGAAAGCCACATTGCTGACTGACACACTCATGGCTCAAGCTCAGCAAGATTATGGTGTCTGTCTTTTGATTCCCTTGACTACCACAGCCTGAAAGGACTAATCAGGCTCACATATTGAATTGACCTTCAGAATTGTACAGCATGATTTCTAGGATTTTACCCAAGAAAGTGCTGCCCAGACATTTGCTGATATCTTCAAGTTAATTAAAAAGAACAAAGTTCTTTTTTTCACATTGTGAAGTAACACACTGATGCCACTTAAAATGGAAATGCTAGGCTGTAACCACATTAAAATTGATTAAAATTCAAACCCACCCATTTATATATTTTTTACTATTTTATCTTTTGTCCTCAGTACTTTGCTTTTTCATACCTTTTGCTTTCTACACTGGAAATATTTAAATGACTACTATCAATCTTTCTAGTTTTGAGAAGATGAAGGAACTGGGGGGAAAAGAAGCCACAAGGGAGGTGGAGAGCGAAAGGCAGCAAATGGCAGATGAAGGAGAATATGGTGATGAAGACAAATCCATGATTTTATCTATGACATTATTAATGAGTTTTATATATTTACAGACAAACTGGAGGACTAATGCGTTTATAGTTACCAAGGTCAGATGGATGTGTATATAACTTTGCCAGGATGTTCAAGTTAGGTCACCCGACATATACCAACTCAGCTTTGTGTAATTACTGAGTATTGTTCTTATACTGTAGCTCATGTGCTAGTTTTATTATCCTCTGAGGTGAGTTTTCAATTTAGGACAAGGTTGAATCAGACACCTGAGCTCTTGATCAATGAAACTCTGTTGGAGAATCTCACTTTCTCATAAAAGTAGGTACCACTTAGAGGCTCTCCATCGCTGGTACTGGCCACCCTCCTGACTCCCACCCCGTGAAACTTCACTCAATCCCCCTTCCTTAGGATGTAACACATTTGACCCTGTTGAATTTGACAGCTTTTTCAAGCCTAGAAAGGCAAAAATTAAATCCCCAGGAGGAGAAAAATCAAAGTACATATTGAAGAAAACAAATATATTTTAAGCATCCAGAGTCTTTTTGTTTGGTCCTTAACATTACTGTCTATTTTCACTTACCCTTTGTGATGGTCTGCTCACCTACTCCAATACTACTGCAGTAACAACAGTAACAGAGTAGTTTATTCAAATCAACTGTTGATCCAAAAATTCAAGGATTAAGGCTAAATTTCCCTAACTAGCAAATGATTTGTTCCATACAATGAGAATCAGAATCAGAAAATAAAATGAAACAAAAGTTGTTTAAAAGAATCCAAATCCTAGGTTGATGTCTAGTTTACTTGGTATTTAAAGAGAACTCATGCTCCTTTTGGTGGTGGTAATAAAGGAATTATAGTACTTTTCAGAGCATCTTGCTAACACACAGGCCCATCTTTTCTTCAAACGAATATGCAGTTGAAACTTCCAATTTGCATAAGAAATTTTCATACTTTCAAGTTGATTTGATTAGTCTCCATAATTTTTGTTCAAGAAAAAATAATTTTTTAAAAGAAAGCTTTATGAATTATTTCATTCTGTATAACATTTTAGTAGAATGTTGAGAACAATAGATAATATAAGAAAACCCTATGGGCAACCATCAATCATAGTATTCTTTTAATTATATTGTCAAGTAAAGAGACACAATTAATTTCATTTTCACTATGTTCATTACTGATAACTGGTACCATAAACCACTTCTTCTTTCCCAAGATCTATATATTGTTTTATATAACTTTAGAAATACATCTTCCTAGGAATATTGAAAGGTGTGTATGAGTGTGGCCACTTAAAATTTACATTTCAAAATTTCCTCAGAAAGCAGCAATAAAAGCTAATATACTTTAATATATCATAACATGAGTAAAGAGTATAATGTAATTTTAGTATATCTCTGTTTCATATAGAACATTGTTTTAATGATGCTTATGGTCTTCTATCTCAAAATAGTGACAATTGGAATACTACTTGCATGTATATGTCATCAACTCAAAGGCTTGGGTTTATCATCAAAGAAGCATATTGATGCCCTGACTTGAATAAATCTTGTATATGTTCATGCCTTAAAGTTAGTAATTATTACCAATGTTAAAAACATGTTGACTATAATAACTTCATAGGTTCTAAGACCATATCTTTTTGCATTATAAATTTGAATATGCTATTACTAAAGATGATCACATCTGTAATCTTCATTTTGAAGATAATTTACAATTTTAATCCAAATTCTCACTCCCAAAACAATAATAACATCAATAATTTAAGGGAGGGTTATCAATTCCTTTTTAGTTTTATATAATAAAGTATTTCCACTGTCAAATGGTGAGTGTGGGAAAAAATTCCATACAAACATGAATATATGGTTAAAATTATACTTAAAATCATACTGAATATAGATATACCACATTTGGAAATTCCAGACTGAACTCTAAGATAACTATGTTAGAATTCTGATTTGTAGACAACTGGATATTTTTACCAAAGCAATTTTGTCCATGTTCTTATGTCCCAAACCTGTTAGTCCTTTAACCGAAAGCTACTTGCTCACATTTTGTTAAAAATAAAATAGCATAATGTCCTTCACATTTGATTAGATAAAAATGATGTTTAACTGTAACAGCAACACTTATCTTAATGAATTTGTACCTTTTCTCCTAATTTTCAAAGATTGTCTTTTAACGTACTAATGGTGTAAGTCACAGAGTTCCACACAGCCTATTGTAAAACCAAACTGAGCCTTATAAAAGACAATATAATGCCACCAATAAGACCTTTAGCCCACCTCATTTCCTAACAACTATATGAAAAACACATGAGTCTTTATATCCATATGTCCAGCTTGGTATTAACGCACACACTATGGGGAATGGAATGGGCCATGTTTGCTGGGATTTCCCAATTTTGCTCCCTTCAAATACATACAGGTTTGGCTTAGAGGATGACATCAGGTTACAATCTAGGCTTATTAACTGTTGGAATGTATTGAGAAAAGGGTATTAACCAGAATTAAGGAATTACTCACCCAGCTGAGTCTCCTGAATTGTCAGTTTACTTTCCATAGGATACAAAAGCTTGGGTGGCTTATCAGTCAGAGGGGCTGAAAAACAACAATAACAAAACAGACTTCTAGTAATGCTGCATGAGATGAATGATAAAACACAGTTTATTTTCCCAGGTATTTTTCATTCTCAGAGCAGTGTGTCAAAGCATTCTACCAAGTAATGGCTTACATATTGCAGTAGTACCTTCAGGCGAGCTGAAAAGCTATTAGATTGTACATGAGTCAAATATAACACTTCCAAATTGACAGTCACATGAGACCGTTGAAGTCGGAATCATGACTGGCCAGTCCTTAAGAACATATGACTGTGATTCATCAAATATTTTCAATTTGCACCTTGTTTTCTATATTAAAGGGTACCCTACATTTTCTCTGTGTTAATTAAAGCTAAACATGGTATCTGTATTGTGCATTTTGATGATTTGGGGGACATAATGTTGTCTTATTCTCCTTAATTCCTTTCCAAGTTTCCATACCGTGGAGCACACTGCCTCAAAACCCCTAACTTAATAAATAGGTTAAGTATTTTTTGCACACATAATCACAAAATGGGATAGCAGTTTGGCATTGGCATTCAATTAGTACAAGTACAAGCTACACACTCCAACATGTACATAAGTATTCACCAAGATAATATTTTAAATGATACTTGCCATTTACTCAAAACCTCTTATTACTATTATCCATTACATTTTGTAGCATTTATTGCTAATTTGCATGATATACTTGCTTTGATTTTTCACCTTCCACATACTTCTGCTCTGCGCTCCCATCAGTTTATCAGTTATCAGCCTACAGGTCTGGGAGTTTTACTATGATGCCTCTTGAAGACAGGTTTCCCATTGCAGACTTTATTCCTGTCCAATGAGACTGTCTGGACGCTAGACAGTCAGTTCTCCTTCATTAATCCTACCTCCCACCTTCTCTGACTGAATCTCCCAGGTCCCTTGAAACTTGTCCCAGCAACCTTCACTGTGTAACAAAGATAGAAATGATCAATTAAGGGTTGCTGAACTAAATGTTTTCACTTTGAGGGCTTTATTCATTCCTTGCCAGGAGACCATGCCAGTTTGGGTGATAACTTAAAGGCTAATCTACACAGCAGTGCCAGGACTTGGCCACATGTCCTCATCACCAGAGGACTGGAGAATTCAATCTGCCTCGACAGCTCACCTTCATCTCTCTTCAACTGAAAACACAGTCTGTTCAAATGAATCATGAACCCCCAATGCAGAAAAACAGGGATGAGATTTAAGAGTCCTGATTTGGGACACCAACCTCACAGAGGATCAATAGCTTTCATTTGCAACTAATTGAATACATTATTCATTCATCTTCGTTAGCATTTAACACAGGGATGGGAGTGAAGGGGAAAGGAAAGCTGGGATAATGGGATGAAATAAATCACTCTGAAATTCTTCTTGAAGATTTGACATCTCTGATTAACCTTATTCTTCTTTCTTGCCTACAGTGAGATTAACAGATTTTTATTCTCCTACCAGCTAAATAAATAGATTATTCACTAAAGGTTGGTGAAAGAGTTCACCATTAACAGGTCAAAAAGCCACATTTCAAAAAAAAAGAAAAAGAAAAAGAAAAAGCCACATTTCTTAAGCTTGGATTCTCATACGATTTCAGTGAATTTCAAAAGCAACTATGGTATCAAAATAACTGGCTTATTCAGTAAATTAACTCAATTTATAAAATTTTGTGATTATGTAGTTACAAGTAGACAACTCAACAGTTTGTTACAGAAAGCAGCTGACAGAAATGTTCTCTATTCAAACACATCCCACACTGATTCCTAATAAGAAAACAAAACTGCAGGGAAAGATAATAAAATGCAAGTGTAGCACATTATTTCAGGAATATAAAATGGTTTTGTGGTTCTCCACCTCAATCCACCATCTGCCCTGTGGCATAATGTTATATCTTTAAGACCTTTCATATTACTCTCTATGTGATAATTCCAAGTTAGCAGAGGAATCAAAGAATGTTGGAGCCAGAGAAAATTATATGCTTATTAAGTCCTTTGATTTTTAAATTGTGTTCCCTAAAGCCTTGGATTTCCATAGTGCCCCTCTGGGCAGGTGAAATGAAGATGGAGATAAAGAGTGGTCCACATGACTTGATTTGTATCACCCACCCCTCTCTGGACAAAAGGAGCTTTACTTTTATTCATCTTATACATCAGTATTTCACCTAAAATTTTTTCCAAAAAAAAATCCAATTCAATTCAACAGCTGTATATGGAACACTATAATGTGCTAGGCATTGTGACAGGGACTTGGGATATCTCTGGTTTCTGCCCTTACATTTTATAATACTTAGAAGTTAAAAAATAATTAAAAATCTGGACAGATTCAGCTTCCTTGTTTTAGAGATGCAGGATCTGAGATGCAAAAAGAACAACTGCCTTGCCAAAGGTAACAGAACAAAGTGATGCTAGAGCCCTTCCTAGATCTTTGCCTCTCAATTCTTTGTTAACTGCTCCTTGAAAATTCTGTCAAGCATTTGTGCAGGTTTCTCCCCAAGGTGTAAGCAATCTGTTAGGAGAGCAAAAACGTGCAGCTAAGTAACCCTAACCCACAGCAGAGCTCTCTTACTGTGTAGTCTGTCATGTTCTTTTTAAAGATTTATTTTTATTTTATTTATTTGAGAGAGTGCATGAGCAAGTGAGCAGAGCTAGTGAGAGAGAACACAAATGGGGCAGGGCAGAGAGGGAGAAGTTGACTTTTCCCCCCTCACTGAGCAGAGAGCCCAATGCAGGGCTCAATTGCAGGACCCTGAGATCAAGACCTGAGCAGAAGGCAGAACTTAACTGACTGATCAACCCAGGTTCCCCTCTCATGTTTTGATATGCTCTGACACTTTTTATCAGTTAGGCATGCTTCTCCTATGGTTCACTTAAAGTTGAAGGGAGGAGGAGCAAAATGGCAGAGGAGTAGGAGACCTAAATATTGCTGCATCCCAGGAATTCAGCTATATAGTTATCAGAACATTCTGAATACCTACAAACACAACAGGAGGTAGAAGAGAAGAATAGCAGCAATTCTAGGAACAGAAAAGCAACTGCTTATTGGAAGGTAGGATGTGCAGAGAAGTAAATCCAAGGTTACATACGGAAAGCTAGACTGTGGGGGAGGGGCTGGCTCCCGGCAAGTGGTAGAGCAACAGAGCACAAAATCAGAACTTTTACAAGTCTGCTCCACAGAGGGTCGTTGCTCCAGAGGCCAAGCAGGGGATGGAGGTCTTGTGGGGACAGTGTGGTCTTAGAACCCAAGGGAACACAAAAAGACCATGGATGTCTGAGGGTGGTAGAGCTCCCAGGTACTGGAGCAGGGAAGCCAGCTGCAAAGATGGAGCAGAGGAGTGGGATCTCAGCTTGAGGTTAACTTGAACCATGATCCAAGGCACAGTTGGGCCATAGCTCTTTGAGCAAGGATCCCACCACAAGTGGCAGATCTGGGGAGACCTTCCCCCTTCCTCCTCCAGGAGGAATGGTGTGGGAGTGCAGGCAGGAATTTGCTGGGTTTAGGAACTCTGAACAGGGCCATGCATCAGAGATAGAAATGCTCAGTCACAGAATGGGTGAGCATGAAGAGCAGCCAAAGACCAGGGAAACAGGAGGGATTGACTGCTTTTCTCTAAGGGCACACTGAGGAGTGGGGCCCCAAGCTCTCAGCTCCTTTGGGTCAGAGATTGGGAGGCCACTATTTTACCTCTCAACCTCCAAAGCAATATGGAAAACTTTCAGGGAACAAAAGCTGCCCAGAGCAAAACCAAGCAGATTGCTTAGCCTGGTCCCTGCCAAGGGTGGCACAACTGTGCCTTGGGTAAAGACATTTGAGAATCACTGCAACAGGCCCCTCCCCTAGAAGATCAGCAAGAACATTCAGCCAAGAAGTTCATCATTCAATGAGAACGATGGAACCCCAGAGCTGGGGGAATGCAACACATAGAATTCGTGACTTCTTTCCCTGAAAGACACTTTAAAAAAAAAAATTATTTTTCTTATACTATTAAAAAAAAATTTCCTCATTCCTATTTTAACCTTTTTAAACTATTTCATCTTATCAATACCTTTTTAAAAATCTTTTAAGATTTTCATTGTTATAGTCATATTCTATCCCTTCACTGTATTTAACCATATTTTTTGTATACCTGTAAGTTTTCTTTCTTTAAAATTTTGGGATACAGTTTCTTCTAACAGATCAAAATACATGCTAAATCTAGCATATGACTTTGTTATAGCCTCCAGTCTGAGCACACTCTCCCCCCCCCCCTTTTTTTTTCAATGAACTTTTTTTTTTTTAAAGATTTTATTTATTTATTTGACAGAGAGAGAGATCACAAGTAGACACAGAGGCAGGCAGAGAGAGAGAGAGAGAGAGAGGGAAGCAGGCTCCCTGCCGAGCAGAGAGCCCAATGCGGGACTCGATCCCAGGACCCTGAGATCATGACCTGAGCCGAAGGCAGCGGCTTAACCCACTGAGCCACCCAGGCGCCCTTCAATGAACTTCTTATCTTATCAATTTTTTTTTTTAGAATCCTATTTAATTTTCATCTTTACAGTCATATTCCATCCCTTCATTGGTTTAACATTATTTTTGTATAAATATATAAGTTTTATATATAAATATATAAGTTTATATATTATATAAATATATTTATATAAATATATGTTTATATATATTTATATATAAATATATGTTTTCTTTCTTTAAAGTTTTGGGAGGCAGTTTCTTCTAAAAGAACAAAATATATCCCAAATCAAGTGTGTGGCTCTGTTCTATTCACCACTCTAAATCTATCTATCTACATCTATAGATATAGATAGCTATATACATATATGTAGATATATATAGCTATCTATATCTATAGATGTAGATAGATATACAGACAGCATATATATATATATGTGTATATATATACACACAGACACATATATATACACTACACACACACACACACACATATATATATATATATATATATACACATACATTTTTTTTCCTTCCCCCCCTTTCTTCTCC